TTTTGAACTAATATTTGGCTTAATGGCATTCTTCTTTAATTCTGATTTTCCATCCAAATGGGTGAAAAGGACTCCATTTTTATCATTAATGTACTTTTAGTTTTTGTAACTTCTTTGACCTCTAAAATGTGTGACAGCTTTTCCATAGTCCTTTTTATTGTCTGCATGACGATAACAAATTGTTCTTTCAGTAGTTTGAGCTAAACCATAGTTTCTCCCAATATCAGTAGTTTTTTGCAAGTTTAAAACGTTTTAAAATTCTAACTTTTCTTTCAAGGAAATTTGTTATCGCTTTTGATTTATATTTATACTATAAAAAGCAGAAATTAACCTTTCCAATTCACCATACAAATGTTAGCTGACACTTTTTAACTAAAAACCTAATAAATGTAAGTTCACTTTTAAAAAATGTAATATACAAGAAATAAAATGGGAGTCCCCTCTATACGCATGCATTAAAAAGCGACGCAAATTGAAACACTACCGACGCAATTCAAATTAGCGCAAATCGGGGCAATGCAAATCGAAATAGTAGTGTATGTACTGGTACACTTTGTAATAAAAACAACAATTTTCAAGTGGCACAGACCTAAGAACTATAAGTTAACGAAGACTATATGCAACTTTTCTAACAGAAACAATTTTATATAAAAATGAATTAATTATTCCAAAAACAATATAAATTTTTTTATTGAAATTAAAATTTTGACACAAAACAACATCCTGAATTTACATCCTGAATTGAATCATATTTTAGCATTAACTGTAAAAGCATAACTGTAAAAACAATAATCTTACAATTATGAACTGACACTTTTTCAATTGATTAATTGCATTTAGTATATCGTGGCTCTGAAACATTTTTTTACACGCAACTTTATGGTGTGATATATTAATTATGAATCATAATATGTTGCGTGTCTGAAATAATCATCTGTGCAGTTTCCGAATATTCTTTTACCTTGCTTTTGACCATAACGTATTTTCTATTGATATGCTTTCATATATAGTAATAAAACGACTATTTACACAATACCGAAGAAAAATATATTGATTTTGTTAGGATATTATTAATATTGTAGGCTACATATTAGATGTCTTGATTTTGTGTGAAGTGTATGTAATCCTGTTCAGCTCAATGAAACAAATCTTAGCAAGATTATATTACTACATGGCATGTTTTGTTTAATTTTTTTATGCTTATTAAAAAATCTACTATTCCTAAATGCTGAATACAAGAGGCAAATGAAAATACAGTTCAGGTATTAAACTTTTGAAGAATTTAGTTCATTTCGGTGAAATTATTTAACAAAAGTATAATTTTGCTATTTTGCTATTTTGCTATTCGAATCCGTCTAACTATTAAATAGCTTCTTTTCGTCCTAAAGACGCATCAGTCTTAGCAAGAAAAAATTAACATTATAATTTTTATAGTTGAGTAAAAACTATTGTATTGATAGTGTGCTGTTCGTGTAATGAATAAAAAAAACAATAATATGCCATTGTAGATTCTTCTTCTGGCTCAAGATTTATTAATTAATAAGTGTGCTGTTCGTGTAATGAATAAAAAAAACAATAATATGCCATTGTAAACTCTTTTTCTGGCTCAAGATTTATTAATTAATAAGTCTTAATATATTACCACATAGATTTGATTGTTATAAGTGTTAAGAGCTTAGGATTACATGAAAACGTAAAAAAAACCTTAAATTAATAATTACAACAATAAAATTTTATTATTTTATTAATTAATTGATATAATAAAATAATAAAAAAATAAAATAAAGTAATAAAATTTTATTGTTGTAATTTAATACTGTTCGAAATACCTCTCTATTGAAAATGAATTTCATAGTAGGAATTTAGTTTCTTTCGTCAAAACGGACGTTAAAAATCAATTTAAATTAATAATGTAAATTATGCATCATGAACTTGGAATTGAATATAAAAAATTACTTTATTTGATATTAATTTTACGTCTGCAACTATGTGCAGTCTATGTATTCAGTCTATGTGTTATAATGATTATTTATGATTATAATTTGAGTATTTTATTTTGGATAATCTGTTGTTTTATAAATTATTATAACTTTATTGACCAGATTAAGTTAGAATTACTTCTAAGTATTTGACTTTGCATTGTACATGGTAATAATCTTTAACAAATCACGATACCGAACTAATGATTGTGTTGTATTATAATGACAACCAATTCCAAACTGAAGGCTTGGTATGTCATTAGATTATATGCTATTTAAAAGTTTAAAAGACTTTTAAGAGTATTTTACTGACTGAGAACAGTAAACTAATAGGTCTATACTTAAAGGGATCTAATTGAAACTTATTTGGCTAGGCAATATATGTATAATTTTTGAATCGTACAAAATTTTTGAAAAATAACAGTTTAATTTATTATTTATTAATTATTATTAATTATTTATTAATTATTAATGTTGAGAATTTGATACTAACCCTAGGAAAAATATTCAAAATTTTATTTTTCTTTTTATTTCATTTGTTTTAGCTTTGATTTGATATTATTACATTCAGCTAACCCATCTGAGAAGTAATATGAATATATATAATATATATGGATGTATAAGGACTGATCGTTATTGATGGAAACACATGCACTAATATTTTCGCAATTTCATATTAACAGTTGGGTATTTTTATAGACAATTACTATTACAGTATGAGAAAATTGATTTGCTCTATCCGCACTAGTTTTAATTAATAGTAAAGTAAAGTATTGCAACATTTTTAATAGTTTTTATTCAACAATTATTTGATATTGGTGTTAGTTTTAACAGTAACATTGGTAAGATAGTTTTAGTTTATTATTTTTTGTTTTTCCGAAAAAAAATATTAACAAGCTAATATACATAAGTTCTATAACGATCAATATTGACAAATTTCACAACCTGCTTATATCAATAATCCAATCTATAAAAATAGAAAGAAGTCAAAACCTAATTTAAACATAGGCAATGTAAAACAAAAAATACATATTAATGATAAATATTTTATTAAATTTTGTACTACTACTACAAGTATTATTAAAATTCTGATATAGTTATATATATATATATATAAATGTTTCGTCTAAGAGTTCGAAAATTGAAACCTGATGTTGAAATTTGTCTTTAATTGTTTTTATTATATGCAAAATTAATTTAAGAAATTGGACTTATCTGTTTTGTAAAAGATTAATGAATAATTAGAATACAGTAAGAATGCATTTAATTTGAATTTGCTTATAGTAGTTGTAAACTGCTTTGACTGAACCTGCAACTGGGGTTCTTGAGAAAATTATAAAAATTCAAAAAAATAAATCATAATAAATTTGAAACAAAATATTGATTATAATATTAATATTAAATAAAATATGAAAACCGTTTAATATGGTAATAACAGTTTGCATTAACTTAATTGTAAGTAATTAATTTATTAATTTATATTTTGTTATAATTTTAATTGATAAAAAACTGATTTTTACAATTGCAATTGATTTGAGAAGGTAAAATTAAATTCTAAGAATTCGTTAGTATTATCAATGAATGCGAACCTCGCAAATGGTTACCGACCGTCGATTCAAAGCAGTTAATGGATATTTTGAACTTGGATTCATATACTCTTATATGAATTTGGATTCATATATAATATTAATTATTACATTAATTAAATATTAAAGAAAATAGTTTAAAGAAAGTATGCGCAAATGATTATATAGTAACTAGAATCATGCTCATAGTTCCAGTCAGTATAGCATCAACTGAAAGAAACTCCTCAAAGTTAAAGCCAAGAAAGACTATCTCTATTGGCAATTCTATTAATTGAAGCGAAAATAGCAGCTGGTGTTAATTATGATATAATTATAAAAACACTGAGTGAGGCTAAAAGTAGAAAAATGCTTTTAATTTAATTGGTGTTTATTTCAATTTGATTCGCAATAAAACTTTCATGTAAAATTTTCAATCAAACTTTCATGAATGTAAATTATTTACTTTTATAACTCGGTAATGAAAGGGGTCTCGCAATTCAGATGTCACCGACATCTAGAGTTGTTCTAGCTCCGCCACTGATGAAAATCTTCAACAAATAAATTCCTAATAAGAATATTTTAATTTCTCGCTCGGAGTTTTTATTGTATTGAAATCGATTCTCTGTAGTTATCAATATAGACTTGTTTACACAAGTAGATTAATGTAACAAGTTATTACTAACAACTTTATATTCAGAGCAAATAGTCATTTCATTGCTTTTAATTTTCATTAAATAATAGAAAGATTTACATAGAAAGATTTATAATTGTTATGTTAAATACAAGCGTGGTAAATATTTATAAAACGCATGCATATTGTCAAAAAAATACTTTAACCTTTTTAAATTAAGTTGTTATACTGTATTTCTAGTATTCCTAATGTATTCAATACACAACTTCACACACTATTTTTACAGTCAAATATTATTTTCCAAACTCACACATATTTTATTATGTGTTGAATTTTTTTTTATTTTCAGATCGTTTGCTTTATAATGCTTAAATGTAAATTCTGTTAATTCCGTAACTAAACTGAGTTTTGTTGACATAAATATTAACACCTACTTAACGTAAAAGTGGTTATTAGCACAGAATGTCTTAATAGATATGTAAATGGTGATGAATTAATAAGATCATCAGACCAGAATGGCGTGTATAAATTTTAAGTTCCAATCTTTAACATCATCCAATAGCTTTGTCAGGTTTTCAATAAATGCTTTAACTTAATGGTGCTAAATAGGGTTGTTATTGAGATATTTTAGTGTAATTTTCTATCTCTTTTTAGTATGTTTTATGTATATTCAGGGATGCTGCTTTATGGCTAATGTACACAGAGTATTTGTTGTATTGGGCGGAGTCATTTTTTTTTTAGGAAATCAAAAGACGTTAAAGAAGTTTAATTTTTGGTGCTAAATAATTTAGTGTTATATAGCGTACAATGTGTCGCGGATATTTTTTAGTCAAATTGCTTTAAACATACAAATTCGTCAAATTAATATATTTTAGCTCCATAAAACAAAAATAATAAAACTTGATATGATAATGAATTATTAACAAAAACAATGAATTGCCCATTCAGGATTGATAATATATTAGAATATAAACAAGAATATTCAAAAAAGTGTGAAAAGACTAGTTCGAAGAAAAATGATTGCAATGATACTGATAGAAAAATTTTCTGGGATACCAATTCCTATAATAAGAGCAATATATTAAACAATTGTAAGTAAGCAACTTTATTCAAGTTTAAAATATAACTTATAAAATGACTTATCTGAATGAATTTATTATAAATAATAACATTGATTTAATATTTTCCTGATGGTACGATTAAGTGAATAAAAAAAAGTAAAGTTTGAAAATGAAATTATTGCATTTGTTCTTATAGTGTTGATGTGAATTATGAAACCACGGTTCTAAAAAAGCCGTTAATATAAACTTTACATTGTACGTATTTCAATTCGAAGTTTATACTATGTAATAAAACTCATATATTTACATATTGAAATGAATATTTAATTTTTAAAAAACCAATAATATGATGCATCACTTTTTATATAAAATAATATAAAAAATAATATAGTATAAGGATAATAATAATGATAAAGTGCGAAGGAAACTTACTTACTTACTTACTGGCCATTACAGACATTAGTCGTCTTTGGCCGCGTCGAGTAGCCTCCGCCAGCCAGCCCGATTAGTTGTTTGCTGTCGGCAGTTGGAATCAAACACCTTTCTAGCCGGAGCACTTTTTCCATTCGCACGACATGATTCTTTTACTGTTCAAATTTAATTGGGAGCTTTTCGTCTCACATTTTCTACACGATTTTCATGTAAGAAGTGTTGAATTGTGTATTGAACTGTTGAAGAGCTTAAATTTACCATTTCAGCTATATTACATTGGGAAATTCCCTTTTTTAAATGCTCCAATGCCAAATATCACTTTTCAGTTGATGTACGCCGTCCATTGGTTAATAAAATGCATGGACTTTAATTTTTTTAGTATTTTCCTTCAAAAATATCATTACAAATGATCGCAAAATAAGAATATTTTTATTTCCATCTGAAATGACGACGATATTTACGGTATTCTTAACTGTTTTTTTTTTTTGTTGTATTCCTAAGAAATGGAAAAAGATTTTTGGGTTTTTGTGTTTGGGAAATGACACTAAAAATAACTAAAAAAATACTAAAAACAAACACTAAAAACAATAACTCTGTGTTCTTTGTTTTTTTAATTTTGCAAAAGATTTTGAAAAAAATAAAAGTTTTCAAAAAATTTTGGTCAGCATCAAATAAGCTGTGAGCCACTGTATGGCAGCTTTTAAAAAACATTTTTTGACATGTAAAAAAACTACAATAAAAAATCTTTGAGCGGCATACATTCGAGTTCGTAAGGCACAGATTTAAAAAAATTTAACTATTTGTAGATATAGTTATTTTACTGATTATATTAATAACAATAGATCTAAACATGTTCTCCACTAGCCCATGTGACTATCAATTTTCATAGTTATAGACCGAGATAAAAATATTTGAAAAAAAATTATATGTGCCATATTTAAACATATTTTAAAATGTAATTTAACGACGACATATTAACCATGAAAAAATTAGATTTATTATAACATTCTTCGCATTAGAATAATATGTATATTCAGATAACACTATTATTTTAAAACATAATACTGATAGATAAGATTTCATTATAGCAAGCAACATTCTAATGAAAGTTTGAAATTTAGTTTTTTAATTAAACATTATTTGTAAATACCATATAATTTGATTATGTTTAGTTTTAATTAAGAATATATTGATCAACTTTGGTCAATTCTCAACACGACAAAAACTTGCGTACTTGCATACAATACGAATAGCGCATTAACATCGCATTATAAGGATGGAATCTAAAAAAATTTTAATTTTTATTTACAACTAGTGTGACGAAATTTTTAATAAAAAAATTAATATTTGAAAATTATGTATAAAGATTTTAATAATATTCACACTTTGATTTTAAACAATTCAAACTAATTAAAATAATATATATTTTTTAGCTGCAATTTTTTTTGAAAATGAAAATGACTCGATTGGCAATTCTTTTCATTCAACAGACGTAAATTTATCTGATTTAAGAACGGTTCTAAACCCATTAACTCCGTTGTGTGATACCGCACCTATAGTATATGCAAAATGGTTAGAATATTTGCCTGCATCCTTATTTGCTACACCGTATCAGCAACAATTAATTGGAGGACAAGGTATACAATATTAATATATATTTCCTCTTATATGTACATATATGCATTTCTCATTACAGCAAAAAGAGTACGAAAACAAGGATTTGATCGAAAACAACGTCAAGCGTATAGTGTGAAACAGTTAGAAATGCTGGAGCATGAATTTAAAGAAGATAAATATCTTACTGTAAGCAAACGTATAGAACTTTCAAGATCCTTGAATTTGACAGAAGTTCAAATAAAAACATGGTTTCAAAATCGCAGAACAAAATGGAAGAAACAATTAACTTCGCATCTCAAAAATGCACAGCGGCAATGCTTTTATCATCCGAATATATATTTAGCACATCAAAGCGCTTCTGGAGGCCTGCACAATTCTGTGCTACCGCGGTATTACAATTCTTCTCCTTTTTGCTTTGTTAATACACTTCCCTCTACAAATTCCATCTCTGAAACAAATTTATTTCAAATTTCAAGCATAAAACATGTCAGCTCTTTTAAAAAGAATTGAATAAATGTAATTATAATTATATGATTATGTAATTATTATATGATTATGTAAGTTCTTAAGTAAAAATACTCAAAAAGAATGCCTTTTGACTCTTAAAATTTTGATGTATCAGAGGTTTCTCATTCAAAATAGCCTGTTTATTAAACATCATTTGGAACTAATGTTTGATACAAGTTAATCTGTTAAGTTCTATAGTAGTCAAATACATAAACAGACTGATCAAACATATACAACCATTTGTTTTATATAAGAGCCCTCTCACATTCAAAAGAACTTTTCATTTTAAGATTTAGGCTTGTTTTAAAATTTTTTTCTGATATTAACAATTTTTTGTATATCTCTTACCTCATTTATACCTTCTTGAACAACTTAAACTTGAATGACTTCTGTATAGTACATGCCAAAAACGGCGTAAAAGCATTAGGTCTTAAAGGAAAAATAATAAAATTCAAGTCCAGATGTGTTCATTTAACTTGTTGGTACGATGCAAAATAGCAAGACAAATTAAAAATATAATACGCAACAATAGGCGTTTTCAGTGGCTCGCAAGTGTGGCAAAAAACAGCAAGTTGCTGGCCTATTCTGGCTGAAATGCAAGTAAAACAACAACACTATTTTCTCTATCTAGGCCAGTAGTTGTTTACTGACCAAATATTTCGATCAGTAAAGAAAAAAGTGTTATCAACGCAATAAGCAAACTATTGTGGACTTTCATTGGAAATTCCAACGAATATTGCAAAAATATGTCAAAAATCATATGTCAACAAAAATTCAAATAAACTTCAAAAATTTCATATATTGGAAAATTGAGAAAAATATAAAATTTCAGTGTTTTATTTGGAAATTTCCAATATTCTTACCATTTTTCTTAATTCTGTATTCATTTTAGTTTTTAATTTATTTTTATGCAAAATATGATTTGCCTGCATTATGTACACAAATGCAAGATTTACTATTTACCAAAACAATACACTTGACAGATTGCAACAGTGATGACAATTTTTCGCTTAGCTAATATAGGCCAGCATGCGTTTTTGCCATAAATTTAATATTCTGTTATGCGTGTGGCTATAACATTTATTCTACTAAATTCATAGGCAATATGCTAAGCAACTATTGAATATTAAATGATCTCTCTGATATACTTAATCGGACGTTTATAACTCGATTTATGATGCCAAAATATATAGAGAAAATATAATGGTATTAAATGTATATAAATTTTTTAGTTCTGTAAAATAGAGTTATAATTGTTTGCACTTAATGCTAACTAGCTTAGTCTGCTGAGTGCTATATAAACTATTTTAGAAAAGCGAATAATGTAAAAAATGTAATAATAAACTTCTTATTTTTTTCTTCAATTAATTTAGATGTTTTGTTTGGTGTATCACTAGCCGTAATTTTTTTTTTTCAGAATTGTAAAAAACAAGTATTAAGTCTGATTGAAACAAATTGAAATCACTTTGACAATATTTTAAAACCTTTTTTGGAGACATGTTTTTTGTTGTATTGTGTACAATCTGAAATATAAAAATTAAAAACATTAAAAATTAATTAATTTAAATAAAGGAAAACAAAATTAATATTGGAAGCGCAATGGTAAACATTTTTTTCTCGTAAATATTTATAGCCATGCAGTCTCTAATAATTATTTGCGAATAATTAAATACAAGATTTATATCCATGACCACTGATGATGCGTAATACTCGAAAAAGCAGTGTGGACACCCAAAAATTCAATTAATTAAAATAATATAATAAGAATTTTTCTTGTTTGTAGTTCACTACTTTTCAAAAAATATTTTTTTTTTATTTTTCATTTATTTAAATTTGTTATTAAATGAAATGCTCATATTATTTTAATGGATGACTGGAATTTTGTAACATATTTCTAATGAACATTGACAATAGACTGATTTTTTAATTTGGTTGCTCTGAAACGTAAAACGTAAAATTTTTTGCGAGTAAAACCCAATGTATGAAATAAAGTGAAAGACAATAATTTCATACACGCAAATATAATGTTTCTTTATTTGATCACAATTTTTAAAATACAACACTTTGTATAAATCAGCCACGCCACGATAGATAAGGTACGCACATCGCCAACCAGAAGTAAAAGAAGGAAACGGAAAGAAGAAAGGCCAAAACGAAGCTAAAAACTATTGTTTGCCAGACGTCAAACTGGAGCTGTCAAAAACTACTAAATGGGTGATGCCATATCGCCTGGTTGCTGTGCCAAATCTCAAACATCCTGCCCGGCTGGACGGGTACGTTCAGGATGCTCCATAAGCCTGCATATCTTTTGGATAGGTCGCATGCATTCGCCTGTTGAATGCTTGATCGTGACTACTCGTACCAAACCATCTTCGCCTGGGTGAAGTTTAATCACCCTGCCAAGCCGTCAATGTGTTGCTGGTAGATTCTCGTGCCGGATAACCACGACATCGCCTATGTTGATGTTGGCACCATTCTGATGCCATTTGGGACGTGGTTGCAAAGTTGAAAGATATTCATCATGCCATTGTCGCCAAAAATGCTGTTGCATTTGCCTTAATTGTCGCCAATATGATAATTTGTTGCTAGGTACCTTGCCAATAGGTTCATCTGGCACTGTCAATAAAGATCTGCCAATTAGGAAATCTACAGGTGATAGAGCCATCTTATCGTCACAAGTGTCATGCAATGGTATAAGTGGACGTGAATTTAAGCAAGCCTCGATATGTACAAGTAGAGTATGTAGCAGATCATAGTAAATGGAATGGGTGTCAACAATGCGTAGTAAGTGCTTCTTTGCTGACTTAACGGCAGCTTCCCATAGACCGCCTTGATGAGGTGCGCCAGGTGGTAGAAAATGCCATTTTGTGCCTCGATTTGCCAATTGCTGTTGAGAATATTCATTATGTCGAGCCTGTAAGTCAGCGGCCATTAAGCGATCTGCGCCAATGAATGTAGTGCCATTGTCACTGTATAAATGGTTACATGGACCACGCCGGTTTACGAAACGGGTGTATGCATTTATGAATGCCTCAGAAGTGAGATCTTCGCCAGTTTGATGTGCACTGCCTTGGTTACCATGCACACAAAGATTGCCACGTAAGCCTTCCGCACGGTTCGAACAGCCTTGGAGCCAATTCGTATGTTGAATGGACCGCAATAGTCTAAGCTAGATCTTGAAATGGTGAATATGGGGTGACCCGAGCCTTTGGTAATGTCGCCATACGTTGTTTTAGCATTATGTGTCTATGCCGCCTGCAAATCGCGCATAAGTGTATGCATTGCTTGACCAAAATGCGTGCCTGTAGAATCCAATATTTGTGTCGCATCGTATGAAGCATAATTTGTATACCGCCGTGAAGTGTGTCCTGATGCACCTGCCATATTAAAAGCCTGGCCAATGTGCTATCATTCGGAAGAATGATTGGATGACGCTGTGGCTCTGCCATCCTCGCATTATGTAGGCGTCCGCCTACTCGCCATATATTGTCCGCAGTGGAGTTGATGAATGGACTTAGTGCAATGAGCTTGCTGGATGTGAATATGGGCTGTGCCTTTTTCAGCTGCTTGATTTCCGCTGCGAAATATTTCGCTTGCTCTGCCTTGATGTGGTGATTTAAAGCAATGTCCATTTCGCCTGTACAGATGTGTGTATGCGAACGAAAACGCTGATGTGCCTTTTTGCAACGCAATATGTATGCAGTAGTGCGCAATAGCTTGCCAAGATGACTGAACCGGTCGAACAGATCTATAACGACCAATTCGTCGCCAGCAGTGTAGTCTGTCTGTAATGCGGGTTGACTTATTACCTGCAATGCCTTAACTTTAACCGGTTTTAACTCGCCTTCCATTATTGCCACTCTGCTGGTGCACTGAGGTGCAGCTCATTGATTGAATAATCAATGGAATTAGGACCGTGCCACCATAATGCGTAGTTATGCAACGCCAAGGGTAAGGCGATAATGTGTCTAGTGATATTGCCATTGTGGTTTGTTGCCAAATAGAGTGCTGCAGCCACTACCTTGACACTAACATCGCAGTAGCCGTGAAGTTGTATTTGATATCCGGGTTGCATGCCTATCCAACGCGGTATTCGCACTGCCTCCAGTTGGAACAGCTGCCTTCGATATATGAGCCATTCTTGCAACAGTTCAAGTGGTAATGGGTCGTCCCATGCCAATTTTGCCTGCCAGAGTTTCTGTATGAAAAGTTTAGCCGTAATGATGACTGGTGCCAACATGCCAATTGGATCATATAATTTTGCGGCATCGTTAAGCACTTGCCTTTTCGTAAGATGTTGTGCATCATAAGAGCTGACCTGATAGAAGAGTTCATCGGTGAGTGGATCCCAGTGCAAGCCAAGAACAGTAGTTTCTGCCAAGTGCGGATTAAGCTGACATGGATCAGCATCGCCAAGAAGATGTGCCAAGACTTCAGCGCTATTCGATTTCAATTTCCTGAGATGGAACTGACCGTCTGCCAAAACAGATGAGACATCGGCCGCCAGTTGAATCGCCATGCCAATAGAAGGTGTACTCTTAAGGTAGTCATCTACGTAGAAATCGTTCAGGATGCTGTGCAAAGCAGTTTTAGCTCGTAATTCATCTGAGAATTTATAAGAATTGTCTCTGCCACATTGCTGCATAGCGCGAACAGCCAAATATGTGCCACTGGTTGTGCCATATGTAATGGTAGCCAATTGAAATGTGCGAATGGGCTGATCGGATGATTCCCGCCAGAGGATCTGTTGCCACTGCCTGTGCCTCTCGTCAACCTTGACTTGCCTGAACATTTTCTCTACATCAGCTGTGAATGCTATTCGATGCTGCCTTAAGCGAAGCAAAAGGTTAAGTAATAAATCCTGTATTGGGGGGCCAGCGAGTTGTGTATCATTTAATGATATGACATTCGATGTTTTTGCGGAAGCATTGAATACGACTCGGAATTTTGCCATGACTGCATGATGTGGAATGTAGTATGCCTGAGATGGGTCGCCTGAATGATGCTGAATAGGGTGCATGTGACCAAGTTGTTCGTACTCGCGCATAAAAGCCACATATCTTTGCCTGAGTGAAATTGGTGAAATTGCCTGAGTGCCATCTGATGTGAATTGCCAAATGGTGGAGCATCTGCTGTAAATGGTATTTGTACACAATAACTGCCATCATCAAAACGCTTATATGTGCTCATGAAAATGCATTCGCAAAGATCAACTGCTGCTATGCCATAGATTGTTCCGGCTTGTAGTTATGCACGGTTGAATACAACCCAGCCTAATTGCGTATTTTGTGCCACAGGATTATCAAGTTCGCCACGAAATATGCCATCTGCCAACAATTGGTCCCATACGTCTGAGCCAAGCAATGCATCTATAACACCAGTTTCGCCAAATTTCGAGTCTGCCAAAGGCAAATTGCGTAAATGCTGCCAACAGTTTTCCATGATTGGAGCCACAGGGATTGCTGAGGTAATTTTGTTGATGATGTAGAATTCAACATCCAAGCCAAATGAAGCATTGACAGTCGAAAATATGCGCAAGACTGCCCGGCCATTAGTATATGAGCGATTGCCACTGCCAAAGCCTTGTGTTTGCAATGCACTTTTCTGCTTCCGCAGAGCCAGTTGATTAAAATATCGCGTACGCATTAGACTTACCTGAGAGCTTGGATCGCATAGAGCTCGACACGAGTCGATATCGCCAAAGCCATTTAAGATGCGTATTTGTGCTGTTACCAAGAGTATAACCCGATTGCCTATAGTAGCGAATGTCTGGTGTAGTCACTGATGCATACGTGGTGGGATGCCAGCCTGGTTCGGTTTCGCTGGTGCCTGAGGTGTAGTTTGTGCCTGCTGTTTGGACTCTTGCAAAGGCGGAGTTTGCGCTGGTGAACTTCGGCATAGTAGAGTGTGATGCCTGCCATTGCATATGCGACAATTACATGAGCCACATGCCTTAGTGGAATGTCCAGGTTTCAAGCAATTGAAGCAAAGATTCGAGCCTTTGAGCAATGTGAAGCGCTCCGCTGGTGAGCAAGCCAATAGCCTAGTGCAGTTGTCTATTAGGTGCGCTGCGTCATTGCAAAACTGGCAGCGGCCTGGTAATATATAATAGTTGCTATTAGGTTTGTCCTCATTAGACGTGAGCCTGGCCTTTTATGATCAGCCTAGGATCTGCCACGATATTGTAGTGTAGCAGTCTTGCCATCAGATTTTGGTTTGCTCTCCATTGCTCGCCAAACAGTGCCAACTTGACTGTGAGCTCGTGTCTCCAAGAATGCAAGCAAATATAATGGGTACCGCCAATGCATCCCATTGATCCATGGGTAGGTTCATTACCGCAAGCGGTCGCAAGGAATCTCGCACTGTATCAACCACCGAGAGCAACGCAGATGTTGAGTCAGCCTGTGGTGGGTTGAAGCCAATTAGCCTAGCCACGTGTATTTCAGCCAACTGTTTCGGATTGTCGTACCTAGTCTTTAGTGCAGCCCATACCTCATCGTACCCGCCACTGTACATGCCTCCGACAAGTCACCATGGACTGCCTCTCGCAGTTTGCCAAGCTTGTATGCCTCTGGAAACTCTTGCAAATGCACCAATGTCTCGAATGTGTCCTTAAATGCCAGCCAATTGCGCATCGTGCCATCAAACTTGGGTACCGTCATTCGTTCCAACTTAATTGCCAAGCCTTGGGAAGACACAGCACCGCCTGCCATATTGGAAGGTGCATCCGTATTTTGCGCATCACAGTGGGCCAACTCACGCCGCAATGCAACGCACGCCTTGTGATACAAGTCCTCCACCTCGTCCCACAACTTGATGTGAGACCATAATTCAGTATCATCTCTTGCCAAAGCCACCAACTCAGCATGTGCAGTTTGTAGTTTGTCGAAGTGTGCCTGCAATGTTGCACGATCTTGCTGCATGCCAAAGCCATCCTCAACGTAGTCATCCGTCAATATTTTTGCAGTTACCCGCTTTAATGATGACCACGCAGCCGTACGCCTATTTAAGGCAGCCATATTTTCTTCGTATAAAACCATAAACGCAATTTAATTTTTAATTCAAAACCGAAAATCCCGGGTTTCGGCACCAACAAAAGTATGAAAAAAAATGAAAGACAATAATTTCATACACGCAAATATAATTTTTAATTTTTTAACACTAAAATAATAAGTGAAAAAGTAATAACTACGAAATACGAATATTTAACAAAAACATGTATTGACAGTTAATGAGAAATATTGTACGTACTAAATCACAATAGACGAATTTTAAGTTTTGTCCATCATTGTATTTGCGCTGTTTATTAGGTAAACAAAATCAAAAAAATTGAACCAAATAAACCAGCAGTATTGTTTTTTAATATACTATTATCAAAATAATCGAAAATAAGCGATCTAAGCAACATATTATTGATTCCGTTGTTTATAATTCACTGTTTTTTTTCTATTCTGTTCTATTTGTTCTTTTCTTTTCATCGCAACTACATATGTTATTTAAAAATTTTTTTTTTTAGATTTCAAATTTTCTAATGTAAAACTAATTTTGTTAGTTTGTATTGTCAAAGCAAATGTATTTCGTTTCTCGTAAATATCGAGATACGAAAGAACTTGCAAAACAAATAAATATTATATGCAGATGGCATATCGTGTACAAGCCATAATATAAGCATTAATATGTTGTTTTTATAAATCAGCCAAAACCAAAAAGGAACAAATAAGAGAAGTAGAATCGATAGTAATATAAACGAGGGTGCTTGATATCAACCATGCATACGGGACGAGATTTATTGTGTAGTCAATATAAATAAATTTTATTGTACACATGCTGTATGTTTCGTTTGACTCGTTCCAGCCTTATCAGTTATTATTAGTTAAAAAGAAAACATCATTTAATTATTAAAATAGAATGCTATATTTATAAAGTTTTTGCTAATAATGGGTGTTTCTGAGTGGAAAAGAGTAAATTTGTTTGATTTCCTTCCCTGTTCTGAATCAAAAAATATATCTATCAAGACAGATATAACTGCACAGTGCTGTAATTCTGTTTATAAAGTTTTTTGTGATGCCTTTGGGCGAGTGCATGTATATTTCAACAACTGGGATTCAATATCTTTTTCTACGAACTTTGGCTTTATTCAATTGTGTACTATAGCACAGCAAAGCAATTTACTTATACTGCTGTTTAAGCATGAGGATGGTTTAATATTACAATCTTATGACCTGAAAAGGATTTCCAAGATAAATGGTTGTCCAAGTATTAGTACTGGCCGCTTATCTACGTCTTGTGAACCAATTGCAATGGTGGCTTGTTTTCTGGACAATCAGCTTGGTATAATAATTGGATTTGAAAACGGTGATATATTTTTTCATCGTGGACCTGTAAAAAGTGACTTAACATCTAATTTCAGTAAATTTAATATTGGTATAACAATAAATTTCATTGAATTAAATCAGCGTAACACATTGCTATATGACTTGTTCGTTTGCTCTCAAACTGGAATATATTATTTTATTCTTAACGATCATAATGTGTTAAGCGAAACGAAGATAGCACTTGAATCTGCAGAACATTCACATCGAGTTTATACCTTATATAAAAGAAATTCTGATGAATGCTTACTTATAGCAGGACATGAAGACGCATTATACTGTTATACTAGACATGGACGAGGTCCATGTTATGCGATCGAGGGTAAAAAGCAATTGATATTACAATTTAAAAATAACTTGGTTATTGTGACTGAAACGAAACATTCATCACTTTATGATACAAAGCGGTTTGAACTTATTTTAATAGATGTTCAAAATAATATAATAATATTTAGTAAAGAGTTCAACTCAATTATAAGTTTGCATGTAGATGTTGATAATTGTTATATTCGATTAGATGGGAATATGTTTTACTTGAGGGAGCGAGAAATATCGAAGAAAGTTCAATTGCTAACAGAAAAACATTTATATGATGTTGCAATACGTTATGTTGTAGAAACCAATATGGATGAAGAAAGTATTGCTTTGATAAATGGAAAATTTGGTGATTATTTATTTTCCAAAGGAGACCTAAGTGGAGCTGTAGAAAAGTATATTAAAACATTAGGCTTTATAGAGCCTTATCATATTTTAAAAAAATTTCTGTTTTCTAGACACAGAAAGTATATTTCTAAATATTTAAATGCCATAACTCTAGCACAAAATGCAACGCAATCACAAACGGATATGCTGCGAAATTGCGTAGAACCACTTGAATTGTTGTTAAAAGTAAAAAAACAGTGTATTGAGACTACTAAAGATGGTGAAAGCGATATACACAAATATAGTAAATTTCAATATAATACTAAATTTAAGACTGTCTTAAAAGCTATTGATATAAATAGAGAGTATGAAAGAACTAATGAAATAGATGAGGAATGTATGTATATATTTTTAATGCAAAACTCTAAGAAAGTTTTAGATAATTATGGCATAAAGTTTACAAATATACTTAAAAATATGTTTGCCGAATCCAAAATTCATTCTCCAGATCGATTTATACCTCTGCTTATTGAAAATATTAACTGTTGTACTAGTTTTATGGAACATATAACTTCTTTTGGAAATAGTACCAAAACAAATATCATGGTTTTGTGCGATTTATATTTACGCGAATGGCAGAGACGAAAGGAAACTTTACCTAATGTGTTAAACTTTATCGAAAATAACATAAATCGTGATAATGCTTATAAAGCATTTATAATATTTGTTACATTTTCATTTTGGAAAGGTGTGGCTTATATTAGAGATAAATATGCGCAAAATAGCGAACATATTCAATATTTAATGAATGGTTTATATTATTATATAAATAAAGATAAGTGTGTTTCAAATCTGGATAACTGCTTACAATATTTAATTAAAGATGGTATTTTATCTAATATTTTTACTATATCTATCAATTTAACTGATACTATATTCAATGAGAAGCAAAATGCACTGCCAGTAAAACATATGTTAATGAACAAAAATCTGAAAGTATCTAATATTAATAACTTTAATAAAGTAGAAGACAACACTTTAATTAATCCAGATAATTCTGAAACACAAAAATTGTTAAAAACTTTATATTCATTAAAAAAATTAATATATAATTATAGTTATAGCCCAATAGAATTTAGAAATAATTGTTGTAATAAATGTAAGGAACGATTAAATTTAAGTAGTATACATTTCCTTTGTCAGCATTCGTATCACAGAAACTGTATTTCGTCAGATATGGATAATATTGCATGTTTGATATGTTCACTAAAGAAGAAAACATATAACGATAACTTAAAATATAGTATGTGCTTAAATGAAAAAAAAAATGACTTTAAAATTTGCAACAGTATAATATCTCATTTAGCAGGTATAATATCTAAAGATGTTTTTAACTCTTTAAATCTCAAAGAACAGTCGCTTAAAATCCAAACTCAGAATTTCACTAATTTCAATAGTTTAGATAACAGAGAACATTTGACTGGTTCAGTTCCAAATTCTATAAATATGTCAAAAGCATCTAAGGAAACTTCTAAAAACTTACCAGGCAGTAATAAATTCGGTGCTATAACAAATAGTATAAAAAGAAGTGAAAAGTATGATGATAATTTAAATCCTTTTAATATGTGAAAAAATGTTTTAAAAAAGAGTTTTATTGATTTTGCGGAATTTGTACAGCTTTAATAATCGCAGATTAAGAAGCTGAAAAATATTGTTATTTAATTTTTAGTTGCATGAAGTAGATGAATTTGTTGAGCAGTGTATTGCGTACGTATGCATTGAGTATTGTGAATCAAAATTGTTCCTGATTAAGAAGAGAAAAATTTTTTTTTCAAATATATTTATATTACATGTTTTTAAAAATATATATGCATATACCTAACAGATTAATTTATAAAAAAAAATATTTTTCTATTTGCTTCACTGTAAATTAGATACATATGTATATAAATCAACTTCAATATTCCATATATATATAATTAGTTGCATCCTTTTATATTGTTAAGCATTTTCGTGAAACACGCACAACCATTATCTATAAAAAATTATCTAAATAAATTAAAATCAAATACAGCGCGTATTTCAAAATAGTAACTTGAACTCTAAAATAACGAAAGAAACATGGATACAAAATATAATACGTGCGTCTAATACATGTATGTATGTGTATATCTAGTTTATATGTTAAGTATAAAACAATTTACATTTCTAGCTAAGTATTATTTATATTTAATTAAAAAATGTATTACAAATTTGAATATTAAATAAACAAATGAAAACTAACTAACGTAGCACGTTTTAATTAATGGTGAATGTTAAAAAAATATTTTTTCTGTTTACAGGATTTAAAACGTTATCAAATTCTTTATTACTTTAAGTCTGCGGTAACAAAATAATATTTATTAATTGATAATCCGTCTTTAGAAATGTTACAGGAATGCTGTAAAAAGTAGGATCCATTAGAATGCTACTAAAAGTAACATTACTTATTAAAAACTAGTATCATAATTAAGACGCAGTGCATGAGAAAATCAAGAAAAATATGTAAAGCTTCCAGTCCACCTAAATTTAACTAAAAGATGATTTGTATTCAAATATCAGAGATGAAAATGAAGATATACTCCTCTGCTACATCTGCTAGTTACACATATGTCGCATCAACAACAAAAAATTTGTTGTCGGCACCTGCACCGGAACATATTTTCCTCTAAAATATGGACAAGAATATTGCTTTTTCTTCTGTAATAACATTTATATAGATATCATAAGTAAACAAATGGGTGTTCTTCATCTGCTCTTAGACTCAAACTCACAACGGAGAGTCAGCGAATATGGAGAAGCCAACGTTGACTACATCTCTCCTAATTTCAAATTCGACAGAAAAGTCAATATCGAGTTTCCATCTAAAGATTTATGATCATCTGGTCTTTCTTTGGGTGAGGGTTTAACTATTTTAACTGATGGATCCAAAACACGTAGTGGTGTAACCAGTGGAGTTTCCTCAGAATAAATCTGAATAAATAATTAAATCTGAATAACTGAATAAATCTTCCCACTTTAGGCTTCCTAATCATTGTAGTATCTTTCAGGCGGAAGTGATTGACATTACGAAAGCTAAAGTTTGTTTGAAAGTGGATGATATATTTGGCAGGAATATATACATTATATTAGACAGTTAAGCTGCTTTAAAGTTGTAATAACCTAAAATGCGATCGTCTGTATCTGTTCGCCGGGGTATACTCAGCGACTGCCAGGATTTATTATGATAATAAATAGTTTTTTTACATTGTTGTAAATACTTGTTTTTGTAGTTAATTTTATTTTATCGTAATAGAATGTACATTAATTATTCCAAGTAATAATTATATTTAATTTTTTACTTTTCTACTTGTCAGAGCTCGAAAGAGTTACGCGCCTCATTGCGGATCAAGTGGCAGGTATGTCACTTCTTCCATTGGAGCGGAAATCTCACACTGAGGTTCAACAATGCTAGCGGTATTATCATAACGCCAAACTGCGATTTTCCAAGATGTTGAATTCGCTGCGGGGAAACCCACGCCAAATGCGAAAGCCAAATCCCTGCCCCTGCATTCGACTCAACTACCCAATTGCCCAGCACACTTTTGAAGTGTTGCTATTTTATTCAAGTTGGCTAACTTTAGATGTGCTGGGTTTAAAGAGGTCCGCGATGGGCGTGCGCTGCAAGCTAAACAGACCACCACCCTCTCCACTAGGCCTACAACCACTTTTGTTACGCCTAACGTCTCTTTTGCTTTTATGGCTAAATCGAAGCCACAGATCCCCTTGCCACTCATTTCTGCAAGATTTTATGGGGACTTTCTCTTTTGCCTCGGGCTTCAAGCAGCAATACTGCAGTCTTTCCTCTGAGGAGAACCATAAGTCTATCCCATCCAAAAAGCCTTCGAGATTGCCTTAAGATGAACGGTCTCCGCATTTTTTTAAACGCCAACTCCATATATTTCAATGTCAAGCGCAGTGTCTTTCAAGACTTCATTAGTTAAAATATAATATATTGCTCATTCATAAATCATTTAACCATGATATTAATGTTCTTGCCCCGTCTGTACCGACTCGCTTAAATTCCGTCCTGAACATCTTTCTGGTGAATAACAGGCCTTCGTCATTGATAATATATCTGACCACCAAGCAGTACGCATCCCTTTGTCTTGCTTCACTCTCACTTTCCACACCTACCTCAACTTCTCTGCCACTAACTGGCCAGAATTCAGTAACACCCTGGACAAGTGTCTTCTTAACATCACTATCCCGGAACATAAAAAAGTGTCTCGCAAGGAACTTGACACTATTGTCTCTAAACTTAAACACGTCATTTGTAATACCAAGGAGTTTAGTTTTCAAGCTAAACTTAATGCCACCACATGCAAATCTGACGTTTTCAATATAATCAGGCAAATCTAGGGTTCTAATAGGACTATCCCTGATCTGCTCTACTCTGGTAGCATTATCGCTGAAGATTCAGCCAAATCAAATGCATTTGACGAAATCTTTACTGAAAATCATTGTATCATCACTTTAAATAATGATAATCCTGACTTCGTTTTAGCCACCAATAATAACATCTAACGCCTCTTCAGTACCTATAGTGGTACTGTCGTAACCTTCTTGCCCCAGTGCTCAGTCTATTGCACTGACACTAATGACCTCAACGGTCTAATTTCCCCATTGTGTCTCTGGGAGATACTCTCCCTCAAAACTCCAAAAAATCCCCGGGTACCGACAAGATATCTTATCACACACTACGCCACCTGTTTCCCATAAAAAAGGCAATCGTGTTCGATCCACAAAAGTGGCAAACCCAACACTTACCGGCCCATATCGTTTCTTAACTCAGTAAGCAAACTGTATGAAAACTTCATACAGTGCACACTGGTCATTTGCTTCTGATAACCATGTTCTTCCAAACTTTCAATTCCGTTTCAGAAGCAAAACGTCGACTATGGATGCGTTACACCACCTTTAGAATGAATGTTGGTTTTACTAACAGACAATCTACTACTGCCAATAGCCTTGACATCGAAAAGGTATTTGGCACTGTGTGGACCGAGGGATTGAGCTACAAATTCCTTTTTCGTGGAGCGCCGACTCAGCTCTGCAGTGTTATCTATCAGTTTCTCACCAATAGGTCATTCTTTGTTAGAATTGGTTCATACTTTTCTGGCGAATATCGCATCTCCGCCGGTATCCATCAGGGATCAGTACTAGGTCTTATCCTTTTTAATATTTTCACTACCAATCTATCCCTCCTTCCCCTACGTGTTAACCAAATCTGCTACCCAGATCATTGTCTTATATGCATGAGGTAATTATTCTCCCCAGCAGAATCTCCATTAAGCTTAATAACCACATCAGAAATCTCTTCCCTTACTACAGCAAGTCGAAGATTAAGCTCGATTCCATAAAAGTCTCTGTCATAGCGCGCATCGGCGAACGCACCGATCGCGTTAGGTTCTTCAAAACCTCTGACTTGAGGCTTTGCATTGATGGTTCTCCCATTCAGCTTGTTAACAAGCTAAAATATCTTGGAGTTGTCTTTACTCCCAAGCACAATTTCAATTCCCACTTTGAATATGCCATCAAAAATGACATATTCAGGCATAAAACCCTTAGAAACCCATTCCGTAGACACAATCAGCTTAATAGCAAAGTAAAAGTTCTTTGCTATAAGCAACTCATACGACTCCTCTTTTCATATGGCTCCCCAATCTGATCCGGAATTACCTCACACTAAATAGATTTAATCTGAATCTTCGAAGAAGACTTCTTCGAGATTGTGTCAATTATCGTCGTAGGCCATGTGGCAAACACTATTCCAACGCCTTTATTCCCAAAGCTACCAAGGTTACTCGAATAAACGACTACCTCCTCTCAATAGTTAGGAGATACTTTTCACGTAGTCAGAATCTTCCTGACATCCTCCAGGTAGATCTCTTCCCAATCATGCTGCTTGAGGCCATGAGACATAAGCGCCTCCAATTTCTTGTCCACTATCTGGAAGAAGAGCTTACTCTTCCGCCACGCATTCCACTCTACGACCGAAGCTTCAATAATTCCGGAAGTAGAGTTCACTTTTAGCTAGACCCTTTCGCAAGTTTGCGTAAACCCCATCCCAATCCCCTATAAATACCATCACCCCTTACTGAATATGTCTATATTCGGCTTTGATAAATTTAGCTTGCTGAATACGAAGCCCTTCTACTCACCCCTCTGTCGTTCAATACTGGAATGGGATTGCAGCCGTTGAACGTGGATACAATCTTTCACAATTATTCGAAAGATTTAGAAACAAAAAGTGACAAAATGCAAGTGAGAACATTTTGCAAGACATTGTTTGAGTTCAATTTGAACTATTTACAAAAATAAGCTATGAACTATTTATTTACAAAACATCAACATTTTCTGCATTGCATAGTATAACAAGCATATCTCTAGCAGGTTAAATTGAGTTCAATAGATTGTAATAGCTCAGAATAAATATTAACACCATAGGATCGGTCTTATACACATATCTATACCACTATAGATTATTATATACTATGAAGTAACAATTTGACATCGTTTACATATTCCATAACCATGGAAATATTTTATGACTGTTTTTCTATAAATAATACTTATAATATTTACAGCAGTTTTCTTTTTGTTTACTATGTATATATTTATTTCACTTTGTTTTTTTTCATTGTTTGTGCTATTATTAAATTTCAAGGTCCCTGAAAAGTAAATCAATTTACTACCTCTGCTGTTCTCGTTGTTGTTGTATTGTATATGCAAATTATTCACAAAAATTAGTCAATGTAAAAAAGAATCAATATAATAAAAAATGCAATACAAAACAAAAGTATTAAGTTTTTCTATATATATAAATTATATATTTAACTGATTTAATCAATTACATATATGTATGTTAATTTTTTAAAAATTTGACACTCTTAATGAAATGAATGAATTATGACAAAGGTCAATTTTCGTTATTAGCAATGGTACTAATTTAAGTTATTTTGTCATACTGTGCTCTCTCGCTTCGATTTTAATGGATATTTGGAACAAATTTCTTTATCACATAACATATTTTTTTCATTTTGATCTAATTCGCTATTTATTTCCGAAAATTTCTTTCCTTCGCCACAATGATTTGGTTCAATTTCTAAATCATCTAATTTATGAAACATTAAGTCCATATTATGTTTACTCGTTAATTGTTGTAAATCACAGGTTAATCTGCATTGATCCTCTAATTTTGACAAGTGCCGAAATGTTAATTGAAGGTTTGATGGCTCCGGTTGTGCTTGACTTATGTCTACAACAGTATTATTATAAATGTGCAATATGTGTTGATTATAATGCCGTGGTATGTTATACTGTGAAAACGTGTTAGAAATTACATGTGGTGTAGTACTCTATAAAAAAATATATTTTAAAACATTTTTATTTCAAATCGGCATATTAGATATAATCTAGTTATGGTCAGAAATTACATAAAATTTAATTTAATATCTCAAATAAATGTTCCATTTAAATCAGATAATCTAATTAAAGATAACATAATATTCCATTAATAGTTTAATTTGAAATTAAATTTTACAAAAAGTTCGTTTATTGAGTCCATACCCTTTATTATAAATTAATATTGCTTACCATGTTGTCGGAATCACTCGAATCTGGTACAATATCTGGATTTCTTTCTTCTACTTCATTGTCATCCACATCTTTTCTTATAAAACACTTCCCTGCATCATTGGCAGAAGAATTTCTTAATGCGTCGTTAATTGAAACTTGTTTACGATGTCGCTTGTGTCGCTGATATGGTATTCTCAATACTAAAATTATAGCTAACGCTGCCACTAATATAGTCATAACGAAGCCTAACATCAAGGATGTGATAGATGAGAAAATTAATGCATTTTTTAAACTCCCACCTGAAATAAACAATATGTATAATTCAATAATATATTTGAGCAGAGACAACATATTATACAGATATACAGCTCTTAACACTACGTTTACATTACCCCTGAATACTTCATTTTACCAAAAATAGGTAAATGTCCATAATAGATAGAAAATGTTCACTCCATAATATAAAATATCATTCGCATTTGCTTCACAAATGTGTTGTTAATATAAATAAACAGACTGATATACCTTTTATATAAGCTTTTCTTGATAATTTGATAGTTTGGAAAAAGCTCTTTAAGACTATTCTTAACTTTCCAGGAATATGTCTTCCTCAGATCATGTGGTCAGCAATGACGGTTAATTTTTCGTAAACAACTCTTTTAAAGCTAGAGAACAGGTCATCCTTCCCTGGCTGTTAAACTTTTACAATAAAGATGCTGCATATCCCCAGAAATACTCGAGAAGTATTCATTTTTAAAGTAAGGAAGGTTTTCTATTGGAACTACTGGAAATGGTTCTTTAGCTACACATTAACAATACTATCCATACAAAACTTCTTATCACAGCATGTTTTTGGTAAACAGTAAGCTAAATTTGTGGCAACCAGACTCAATTCTGTCTTTCGCTGATCTGGAACTGACAAGGAACACGCAATTATACCAAATTTAGGTTTGCCAATACCAGTCTTAATTGCCTAAATTTGCTTAAACTCTTATTTTATTTCCATTTTTTCCAAGCAAATTTCTCGTAGGCGCTACAACCACATTCCAAACAGTTTGGAGAACTCCGGGATCACTAAATTACTCAGCCACGCATGTCCGTGTTCAGCTTATATGGGTACGTGGACACAGGGACATCTTGGCCTCCTACTTATAATGACCAATCTGACACTCTAAGCACAGATGAACAAAATTGGACATGAAAGTACTCCCAAATACCCATACTCAGATGTCTTTTTGGAATTATTTCTTATATTTAATTATTCGTAAATAATTTTTTGATACTACAAGAATCTAGAGCTCAATTTGTACCCTGCCAAAGTTTCATAGTAAATTGACAAAATTCCAAATTAGAACATGTCATACAGTAAAGTACAGCTTTGCGTCAGTTGACTAATGAACACTGACTCTGAGCTTCAAATTTGGCAGGGTACAAGTTTAACTTTTGATGTTTGCAGTCTCAGAAAATTATTTACGAATATTTAAATATAAAGAAAATTTCTGAAAAGAGCACTGGTTATGGGTATTTAGCAATACTCTAAACAGCTGTATGATTAGCTAAAAATTAAATTAATTAAAAAATAATACCCTGTTGTTGCAGCTTACTATTGTTCCAAAATCTTATTATTGAAAAATAATTATAGTAATTTTAGTAAAAACTGTATATTTATAAATATGTACTTACTAGATTCTGATGTAAGTTGTTTTTCTGGTGGTTTAAGCATAGCTGCAGTTAGTGTTATGGGATCTGATCTGCCTTTTGAATTTATTGCATATATAAATAGCGCATAAATTCCACCTGGTGAGAGACCAGAAATCGTAAACCTTGGAATTGTGGACGTGATATTTGCTTTTTTTTCCTAATAGAGTGAAAAAATCAGTTTCAATTTATGCTATATTTATAACACGATTATAATAAAATAAATGTAGTTATATATACTCATGTTAAATAATAATACAGGATTAGACGATTGAAGTCTTACCAACTATATAAAGATATATCAGTCAAACTGATATTACCAACTAAGTAAAATTCATACGAATTACAACTGTTTACATTGCTTGCAAGCTACCACAAGAATTTAGACACACTGTTAAGTTTTAATAGTAAATTATAAAGACAGTAAAAAATAACTAGCATATTTTTCCCGACTGAGACGTAATACTCATGAATGTTTCATAAAGCATTTTCATCACTTGTGTTTCGATTGTCGATGTTTATGAATATAATATGTGAAGATTATAAATCATTACAGTGCTGTCAGCTGTGTATATGAGTCAAGTGGAGTCGAATATATGAAAAAGAAAATGTATATATATGAAAATGCTTATAAATGTGAAACACAGCCAATAATTCGACTGTTGAGGACTCATTGAAGTTCTCTGTTATGTACCCGATTTTATTATCTTATTTGATAAGTCCGAAATTGTTTTATTTAATTGGTTCGCAATTGAAAGTTTTCTCTTACTTTAAAATAAACATCCTCTAGTTCCAAAATGAACAGTTGCGGTAGTCCTCCATTAAATCCATCATTACATACAACTGTAAGTGAGTTTAAAGATATATTACTAATTGAGCAATTATGCACTCTATCGGGACGACCTGAAATATATATAAATATATATATTAATTTAAATAATATAGTTTTTATTATTAATTAATAAAGTAGAATAAAATTTTCTATTAATATGTAATAAAAAAAATGTTTATTTATATTGAAAAGGTAATATGTATATTATTGCATATTTTTCACAAAAGTTTAAAAAATGTCTCAAATAATCACAATTTGTTCTCTTTGTATTATAAGCAAAGAGAGTATTCATGAATGCTTTACTCAGAAATAAATTTTTGATTATACGTTTCAAGAATGTTAAACAAAAATAAATGTTTTTTTAAAGAAATTTGTTAGAAGCACTTTTTCTTACTAGCATATCTGGGACATAATTTATTGACGACTGACTGTTTAAAAAAATTACATTGTGTTTACGTTTTTATCATCTGATATCATTTTATTTAGATATAAATATATATTTAGATATGGTTTGTCTGCTAGCCGATAAACAATTTTATATCTAAATAAAAAAATTACTCCTAAATTTTAACAGTGTTCATTGCGCACTTATTTTTTAAATACATAGCTAGAAGTTCTGAGTAAAAAGATCACTAAAATTAAACGGGTTCTCAGTTCTTTGAAGTAATTTATACATTCTACCTTATTTCTTGTTTTAATTTGCCTATACAGAAGTTTACTGTATTTAAAAAAGTTGTGAACTTTATATGTAGTGTAAAGTGTGAAGTAAAGAGCGACATCACAGTTTTAAATCTCATTGTATTGGAATTTATAAGACTGATTTCGGTCTACAAATAATGGGGACAACTTCGGTAAATTGGAACAGAACATTCCACTTTTTTGTTGGCGTTCATGAACAGTGACAGATACTGTTCGAAGAGAGTCGAAGACTCCATTTAACACATTTTATGAAGATGTATAATCTTGGCATTCATAGTATTATAGATATCTTCAGTGTTACCGGAACTTACCAGCTGCTATAATATGGAAGACACAAGGCATTTGTTGTTTCCCAATTTGATTTGCTGACGTACATAAAAGTGTTCCATAATCTAGTTCATTTATTGGAGTGTAAGTAACTGTAGACTTTGTTCCTGAAATTATAGAATTGTAAAGTATAATTTTTTCTTTTACAGCAATTTAAAATATTGATAATATCACTTTTCAGATATACGAGAATAATTTAAAAATATATTAAATTACGAAAAGTCGATGAATAATTGAGAAGATATTGAATTAAGAATAGTGATTGGTAAAATTAAAAATATTTTAGTAGTATAATGGAAAAACAAAATATATAGTAAATACAAATCCTATTTTAAATTATGCATGCCCCAAATTTCTAAAAACGAATCCAAAACAAAAGATTAATAATATTCTGGTAACAAACTATTATTTGATAAATTATTAAAACTGTTGTCCAATTGTTCAAAATTCGATTATTTTTCCAAGGATTGTTTCGTGTGTGCATATCAGATAAATAGAAAGGGTTAGAGATAACAATTCAAGCATTACAGAAAATTGGATAAAAAATACACCTAATGTTGTCAATTACGTTAACTACGTTCTTCAGCAATCGGGTAACAAAACGAGTAAGAAAGTATTAAGTTTAACTTGAACTAGTTTTACGGAACGAATTGAAGCAAACGCTTTCCCTATTATTGTTTCTGCGCTACCAATACAGGTCATAACTATCGCTAGCAGAACGTTAACAAGTAATCTACAATTAGCTGACCCTAAATTCTCGGAATATCGATCAATTGTTGGCGTTCATGAACAGTGACAGACACTGTTTTTATCAATTGCATCATGCAACTGCAGCTTAGAAATGGTATTATCTTACAAAACACATTGTTGGGTGGTTGGTAGAGAATATGACGAATAAACGTACTCGTGATCCTGTAGTATCTCTTTAGAAAAGAAATCGTAAAACAAAATGGGTGCGAAGTTTCGGAAAATGGTGTTTTCGCCTGAACACCATAAAGTATGGCAAAGTAAATATTCACTAGCATGGAACGCCCCGGCGAAAGATTTTTATGTTGACGATGTGTTGACGGGAGCTGTACAGTTGTCCAACGCATTGAAGTTGCAAATAGAATTAAAACAAATATTATTCTGCAGATTTCAAGCTCTGGAAATGCTAATGAACCCATTTACAAGGCGATATTCCATCAGTTGACCAATAAATTAAATTAAATGTAACCAGTAAGGGCAAAGAAAATACCAATGGAGGAGGTATTACTTGAATTTATGGAAGATCAAGATCCCAAGAATTAAAGAAGAAGTCATAACTAAGCAAACCGCACTATCTGACGTTGTTAAAATTTTCGAACCATTCAGCTGCATTGCTTCTATTACAGTTAATACGAAGAAATTTTTGCAAAAATTATGGGAATTGAAATTACACTGAGATGCAGTTTTTTACATACAAAGTGGTTCAGATTTAAGAAAACGCTTAAAAAAAAAAGAAATCGGTATTTTGCTATTTTGCTGTTTTTAAAAATAAATAGCTCGACCCTCACGTTATATTGTGTTTTCAAAAATAAGTCACTTTTACTTTTGTGTTTGAAATATAATAGTTATTCTTGAGTTTTAAAATAAAAAGCAGAGGGTATGAGTTATTTGCGCGTGAACAAGTAAAAGGCATATAATAATGATTATTATTACATATTATAAATATATTATACATATCATAAAAAGCAAATTTAATTATTTTTTTTTTGAGTTTAATTTAATAGACTGGTAATAGAATGGTAAGTCTTATAAGTGGATTTTTAATTAACACCTATTTCGGTCTCTGGTTTTATAACAATTTGCAACCATGTACATACATGTACTAATACAATTATTTAATATATTTCAAATATCTATTCTTACATACCAAATTGTACTATGTGATTTGTTGCAACATCAATACTTTCAGCTGAATTATTAAATGTCCAACTAAATTCAACATCCGGTGGATTTGCATCAATCATACAAGTTACTTTAACACTCTCTTGCTTTGCGGCACCATAAATTTTAGTTTGGTGAGGCAAACATGATGGGGCATCTGTTAAATATCAATTTTTTTGTAATTGCATTTTAAAATATATTTTAAAATATAAGTATATAGAAAATTCGCTTATACTAACATAATATGTTTAAAGTATGTGGTGGACTTATTCCTTCACCTTCTGCATTATAACCTACACATGAATAATTTCCAGCTGTGGTTCTTGTGACGCCTTGTAGAACTAATGATTGATTGCTTATTATAATTCCAAGTGTTATGTTATGTAGTAAGTGCTGACCCTTAAAAGTGATAAATGATTGTAAAAATATATTGTTTATATTATATTATTATGTATTATGTTATATTTATATTATATTATATTGTGTATATTAAAAAATAATACAAAAAAGGACAATAAAGTAACAGAATATATGTATATATTATATATGATTACAGTGCACATATAGAAATAACACCACTCAATATAGGTATCCTCAATAACAAAATAATTTCAATCCAAACTTTTCTGTGTCAATCACAATAGTTACCTGTTATTTATTTATAGAAGCTGTTATAACAGTTCACTTTACACTATATCACGATTTTTCAACGAAATTACTAAACAAGCCATACGTACGTCTCCAATACCAATTAATGATATGGTATTCATATATATGCCGGGTGACTCTCGATTCTTTGAAACATGAAAAACGTGCTTGATATTCATTATAAGACCTTGAAAGAGATCGATGGTAGTCTCACGAGTGTGTTCGTGACATACTAGTGGAAATTTTGGGGATGATATAAATGCGTGGTACCGCCTATTTCAACAAAAATCGAAAAAAATTAGAGTAAGCATATCTTTAGAAATGTTGAATCACGTCAATTTCAATCCTCTAATCATTATGGAACGCATTAACTGATAATGACGTAAGGATTTTCGAAAAGATATTTAATTAAGTTATTCCGTATCTTATTTAGGTTTTAGGCAACAAGTCACATTTTAAAGCATTCGCGTGATAAAATTTGTAAGAAATATAAGATTGATGGTCAAGTTATGGTTAAATGTAAGGTCAGAAAACCAAGAACTCAATTCCAAAGTAGTCTAAAAGTAAACTGATCATTTGGGTTTCAAACTAAACTTAAGCATAATGTAATGAAAAAATTAGCCAAAAACAAAATTAGAATATTTTGTTCCTTTTTTGATTATTTATGAACCAGAATACATAAAAACTAAAGATATTGTGGATAAACATACATTTTTTCGCCATTCAACTTTATACACAGGCGGGTGTGACAATATCATACAGTCAAAATATACATCGGAGCCCTCTTTAATTGAGTTTGATTCCAGTGAAGTGCCAAGACGAACGTGAGGCTCTGGGACAACTTATTATGAAAATATAAAAAAAATTTAATTTTTCACAATCGTGTAAAATAGTTGTATTGTTGTAATATTTTGTGCCAAAAATATATTATTATTTGAGTAACGTATTTTAATAACAAAAAATCTAAAGCAATGTTTAAAATTTATTGATACTTACATTGAATATCAAGTTTCCATCCATCTTCTAATAGTTCTGAAGGCACTGCATGATTATATGCTTTACAAGATAAATATTTTCCAGCATCAGATTTATTTAAGATTATGGACAAAGTACTTGTTGTCTGGTTTCCGTCACTTGATGTCTAAAAGGAATTCATTATTAGATATATATACTTTAGATATTGGTATCCTTTCACTCTATTTTAGATATATTTTAAAATTTTTCAATATAACAATGAAAGAGCATTCTTTCTAGAAAAAATTACGGAAACTGAAGTTCAAAACAATCTAACAGAAAGTTCAGCAGAAATGCCCAATTAAGAACAAAAATGATGGAATTAAGTTTAAAAATTACCCATCAATATATTTAGTGATCTAAATACTGTTTTATATAATATACGGTGTTTCAAGAATGCGAGACAAGAGCTAAACTGTTACTCCACCAAAAAAAAAATACAGAAGAGTAGTGAAGAAAACACTGTTACACTTAAATTATTTTTAAACTTCTTCCCAATTATTTATTATTCTATAAAATTTACTGTGATTACTGTATAACTGTTTGAACATATCATACCCGATTGTCATTGGTCCATCGCATTCAAATTTCTTTCATTAACAGAGTATTATATGTCATTTGAGTATTATTAAGAGTAAATAAAATGTTTAAATATTATTAATTACTTACAGTTTCAGATGTTTTTTCTAATCGTATACCATTTTTCCACCAGGTAATTACGGCTGGTGGTCGAGATCCAGCACTTTGGCAAAGAAGATCATACCTTCGTCCTGCTGAGAGAGGCTGACGCGCTCCCAACAAGCGTATACTTACAGGCGCAACTAGATTAAATACATTTTAATTTATTCGTATTTGATTTTTAATTTAATGATGTTAATCAACAATATTAATTATTCAATAATATACAGTCAAACCTCTCTATGACGAAGTCGTTGGTGTCTACAAAAACTTCGTTATAGAGAGGTCTTCGTTATAGAGTGGTTGAACCAAATTTTTTTGTTTGAATTTTTTTTTTTTTGCATTTCTCTGAGAAATATGTACGTATTTATTTTAAAAATATATTTAATTCATGTTTATTCATATATATATATATATATACATAACATTAAAAAAATTAATTATATATTGGTAAGATTATAATTTTAGTTTGTTTAGAAATTTTTACTTTTTCCTTATCAAGGAACTCTTCCAGCTCTTCTAACAAGTTAATAGCTTGCATACAAAGAAGTTTCTCATAAGTTACAACGTATTAGTTGATTGTTTAACTTGCATGTGAAAAAATTCGTTATAGAGAAGTTTTTTTGTATGTAAAAATTTCTTTGCGTACCTGAAAAAACTTCGTTATAGAGAGGAATTCGCTATAGAGAGATTCGTTATAGAGAGATTCGCTATAGAGAGGTTCAAATATATAAAAATAACTGTGTCTTCAACTAAACTTCGGTATAGAGAGGAATTCGTTATAGGGAGGATCGCTATAGAGAGGTTTGACTGTATATTATTTCTCTTACAAATACAATAAATATTATTTACACATGGTCAGGAAAACCAAGAAACGAAAGCAATATCATTGAAGAAGTGTTTATTTTCAATATTAAACTAAAATATTAACATAAAATCCCTCAACGCATTCTTAAAATAATTTAACTAGGAAAAATAAATCAGAAGTAGTGACCTCAAATATATTTTAAGTTTTTATAGTAAACTCACAATTCATATCAATTTGAACAACAGCCTCCAATGGTGCCGATTGTAAATGAAAATATGCTTTGCAAGCAATGCGTGTATTAAGATCTTCTCTGGTAAGAGGACCAATAGTAACTTCACTGCGAACAATATCGTTATCGGAACTTGTGGTTAAATTTGTCCATATATCCCGTTCCTCATGATACCATATTAGCATAGGCTTTGGTACACCTGCAATTTAAAAATTTTAATTTTAATAATATAATTTTTTATAGTATTTTCAAAAACTTTTAAAAGCGAAGAGACGAAAGCTTTAGTTTGCACCTAAAATGTCAACGAATTAAAAATATTTTAAAGAAATTTTTATTAATATGTTAGCAATCAAAATTGTTACAAAAATATAACGCCGATACTGATTTCAAGAACAGTTAAGAAATACGTTCTATCATCTCTAGAAATTGTTTAATAATTTATTACAACTCATCAGCTATTTTATGTTATATAAAATATTTTTATTTATAGATTCAAGCAGAAATTTCATTGTTTATTAATTTTATCAGAGCCAGAATTATTTAAACACGAAAGGAGGAAATCATGACGTAAGTAACCATGGTATAACATTAAATACCTACTGCTCAAAAAGTATCCGGATTTTGTTATTTGTGAACTACTCCTTAAGTAATAGACCTTTTCAAACATTTTTTTTTGTTATGTCGATACAAACTTTCTTGACATATGGTACAAGTTTGAGCGCCATCTGTCAATTAGTTTGTTTACAGCAGTTGTTAATGTGAGATTACCTCAAGTGCATTTAGCGATCTTTACTATGGAAAATTCTTGTTGTAGGCGATTTTTTGACCAAACACGGGACCACTTTCATCGCTCAGGCACCATATTCGCCAGATCTGGCGCCGTGCGACATTTTCCTGTTCCCGAAACTCAAATTGCCCCTTCGTGGTAAGCGTTTTGAGTCGATTGAATAGGTAAAAGAGAATTCGCCGAAGGAACTAAAAGCCATATCCGCACGGGCCTACGAAAAGTGTATGGAAGATTGGGTTAAGCGTTGGCATATGTGTATCGCTTCAGAAGGAGCAGAAGGATATTGTCACATGGACCGTTGAAGTATAAACACATCGAGGTTATGTTTAAGACTGACTGTCATGTTTTTATTGTGTATTGTTATTTCCTTTTACAGGGTTGCCATGACTGATATACTTTAAAGACTGTTACCCCAACCAAGAAAAGGTTGTTAAGAAGAAGAAGGTCAATGCATTACGCGACAGGAATCAACCACAGCGTTAGCAGAGATCACCATATGAAAATTTTGTCAAATCAAATGTCAGAATCTCTTTATGATCCAAAAGATAGTCGTACATTTGATTCCTGATATGCTCGCTACGAAGATATTTTTGTAATAGAGGTGAATGAGTGATTAGACGCAGAAAAGACGCGAGTTTTATTTAGAAAACTTAATCAGGCAGTATATTAACAGTATGCATCAACATTGGTAATTCAACCGGCCAATGCTAGGTACAGTGTTGTTAAGCGATTCAATTAAATAACTTTACAAATGACGCTATTTGTCAGTGGTTTATAAGCTGCCAAAGGTGCACTTTTCGGCATAAGATATTAAAAATGTTGCATGAAAAACAACAACAGTCACCAGTCACACTGGATTTGGTTATTAAAGAAATGCAATGTAGCTTGGAGCATCAGCAATGTTCAAATTACACGGTCACAAGTGTCAGCCACAAGTAGTTAAATCGCAAGAGTATAAGACTTCGAGCCACTAAGAATAATTAACAATATAGAAACGTGCGTATCACTTTATACAGAGGGTTGTATGTATGATTGAATATTTAATAGGACTTTTGCCAACATAATTCGGCTCAAATATGAGTTTGAATTGAAGATCATAGCAGTTGTGGCTTAATCGACAATTGTTGCAAGAGGTTAAGTGGATTTATTATAAATTCAGCAGCTCATTTGTATGAGCGTGGTGCTTCTTTGAATCCAATGATATTTTTATGATATATTTTTTATTTAGTATGTGATATAAATAAATAATTTTTATTAAGTTGTCTGAACGCTGATAAGGCTTGATCAATTATTTTTGTTATGATAATAAAATGAAATTTTTAATAATACGAAAGTAAAAAACAAATTAAGTAATAAGAAATTACTTAAAAAATATTTAATTGACCAGAAGCAATTTAAATGTATTATATATGTATTATATTATTATTATTACTATATTATTATTATATTATTATATATTATTTTTATTACATATGTGTTATATAATTTTTTTAAATTAATTTTTGGTTTTAACTTATTTTTACATCTTTGTAGAGTTATAAATAATAATGAGGTAACAATTTAATTTTCAATCTTATTATTAATAATCAAATGTGAGTAACTAAAAAATAAGTCTATTTTTAAAGCAAATTTAATTGTTATTGTATTATACATATGATTTACTTAAAATATAATATAACACTATCTTGAATATATTTCAATTAAATATTACCTCCATGTACTTCACATTTAAGAGATACTACATCTCCTTCATTGTAAGGTCCTACTACAGTTGATCTCTCTAAATCATCATCACCATAAATTCTAATTTGCTTTGGAGGATCTAAAACATAAAAATGTATTTAATAACGAAATCAATCTACAATTACTATTAAATAAAACAATATAAAATAAAAAGATTATTTCTAAAGTTAATGGAAAGAATAATTTAAGTGACAGTTCTGTTGGTATAGGAAAAATTTCCTTAAGAGTGCACTTATTGCTTGCTGAAAGGAAGGCGACTTATTCTAAATCAAAAATTAGTTTGCTTTTAAAAAAACTGTCCAGTCAATGGATGTGGCCATGCAAAAATTTTTTAATTTAGGCACTTTGAACAATTTTTAGATCTTTTAAGAGTTCCTTTAATGACCAATCATCATTATACCACTCACAACGCTATTGTGTGAGCATCGTGAATATGTACACCATGTCGTATGATAATACTTGTCCGCAATAGGACATTATTCCCGATTTTTAAAAATTAATTCTACTACGTTTTCTAATAGCAGATTTCTTTTTCTTTATTTTTGTTTTTTTATAACAACTGGTATTATTTGTCATTCAGCACGAAAGACTTACTTTAAATATTAAAAATTGTTATAATTTTTATAATATTTTATTTAATATCAAATTATTGTATTTTCTAATTATAACAACATTACCAGAATTAAAATTTAATATTTGTTAAGTGTTAAATTTAAATCAAAAACATTTCTTAACATTTTGTATAATAACATGAAAATGTGGAATCAACAACTTTAAAACAAATTAAAATAACCAGAATAAATATTGCTGATATTTATTTTTATATATATAAATCTTACCAATAACCACAACCTGTACTTTGCTATTTCTTGTTTGTGCCCTCATAAAATCCACTCTGCACCGATAAAGACCGGAATCTGACTTGTCTGCATTATATAAAATCAGTACACTAGATCCGTTTTCGAGTTTAAGATGAGCTCTCTTTCCTAACAGATATTCATCCGACCATTTCTTCGGAGCTTTCTCATTTCGCATATCTATACTGTAAATTTATATAATGCTTGATATTAAATAACAGTAAATTTAATATAATATAATATAATATAATATAATATAATATAATATAATATAATATAATATAATATAATATAATATAATATATATATTATAATAATATATAATATAATATATAATATTATAATAATATATAATATAATATACAATATAATATAATTTACAATATAATATACAATATAATATATAATATAATATAATATAATAAAATCTTATAATATAATATAAAATAATATATATTATATGGTATGGTATATTATATTATACCATATAAAAAAAGTAGTATAATATAAAATGTTATAATATAATAATAATACGATGTCATACATAAAACTATATTTATAATATAATATAATATATAACATAATATAATATAATATAAATATAATATAATATAATATAAACATAATATAATATAATATAAACATATATTATATAATATAAACATAATATAATATAATATAATATAATATAATATAATATAATATAATATAATATAATATAATATAATATAATATAATATAAAATTATAATGATTACTTACCTATATATTGGAGTACCAATATCCTCACGATACCATAGTATTAATAATATTGCATCTTCTTCTAAATTGCCTATGTTGCAGGGTAAATAGATTGTTCCACCAATTAATACTTCATTTATTTGAACTAAATTTAAATAGTAGTCCGTAATTTTGTAATGTAGCAGAATAAAAATTAAAATGTTAATTTACAACTACATATTAAACTGCTGAAATAAAGTTTATATGACATATTTTATTGTAGATATTTAATTATAGTATACTTAATATACTTAGATAAATATAGACGATTTTAAGTTATTAAACTAATTTCATTTCAATAACGAAGTTAGCCCATTCACTACATTCACGTAGATAGCCAATGCTTTACGTTGCTCCTATATAAAGAAAATTTAATAAATCCAGAACGCTGGTAACAGCACCAAAATACGAAATTTTAGAATTCATAATGCTACAACCGGTTTTTAGATCTCCTTTAAATATCTTCTTTGAAAATCCATCTTAGATCTAATTGATGGATCTAGATTATATAGGACTTCAACTAATGTTGAAAAGTTTTGTCTGATTATTGTTATATCTCTAGATTAGATATGTTGGAACGAGATTATTGCAAAAATACATTAATAGATGTTTTGTATGATAAAAAGTTATATATAAAGACTGTAGGTCTAACACAAATTTAAATTAAATGAAATAATAACTACAGATTCCATTAAATAACAACGCACTATTTGATTTAATGAACTAGAATATCTGAAGTGAATCAGATTTTAGGTGATTTGGGTAAAAATGAGTATAAATCTTAAAAGATGACTGCGATTTGAAGCTGTGCTTGGTGGAATTTTGACAACAGTCTATAGTCCGAACTGTTTATCAATTGAAGGAGATTAGTGATGGTATCAACACCGCTGGTATTTATGAAAATGATTATTTTCTAATTAATTCTGATTTTTTACAGAAATGAAACCGAAAAAGTTTATTTTACAATATACACAATATAAATACAATATATATATTGTAAATAACGTTTGAACAATTAAAGAAATTAAATAGGAAAAACATTTTGTCATAATCAAATGAACATATTTTTCCGATAAAAACATTATACATTTCATTATATAGTTAATCAATTATGTACATTTGTTAATTTGAACTATAAAAATAATTTCATTCTGATCGAGAATATACCTATATGGTATGAAATAGGGTTTTTTAACAGCCAGGTATTAGAATCACTAGTCCGAGGAATATTGTATGGAAAATGTTCATACTGTTTCTGTAAATCACGTTGTATATATTATCAGTCGTTGTAAAACACATGAAATGTTTTCTTAGAATACAGTAAGTTTTAGATTGAGAACCACTGGTTCATACGATGAAAGAAAACTTCTTCGTAAGATCTTTGGTCCTTTACGAGTTGGCGACGACTACCGTATACGAATGAACGACGAGCTTTATCACGACATTGATATAATTCAGCAAATTAATATCCAGCGGCTTCGCTGTCTTGGTCATGTCGTGAGAATGGATGAAGATACTCCAGCGAAAGAAGCATTTGAAACAGTAGTTGGTGGAAGAAGATGTAGAGGTAAACCGTGTCTCTGGTGGCGCGATCAAATTGAAGGAGCACTAACTAGACTTGATGTACGAGACTGGAGAAGAAGCGCACGCACCAGAGGCGACAGGAGAGACATGCTACGTTAGGCAAAAACTCGATAACGGGTTGTTATGATCAAATAAGTAAGTAAGGTTCATATGATGCCCGATGTCGTCTTTTTTGCTAAATCTAGCTTAACTACATAAATTATGAATATTAACAAACCTCACAATATTCTGATTAAAACACTAATAATTATATGTTTTTTTATAAAAAAAAAAAACTAGAAAAAATTTCAGGCAATTTATCCATAGCAAATAACCACACGATATCGAAAAGAAATTGAACAGATGATAAATTCACAGGATAACTCATATAAGAAGCGGTCACCATTAACACTAGCTAAACAACCGACTTTATCTCAAACTTTTGATTTAATATTTATTGTTGCATATTGATATATATTTATCTTAATACATATTTTATATATCTGTAAATTGTAAATATGTATTAAAATATTTGCACATATATTTAAAATTCTTAAATTAATTTATTGGAAACATTTCACAATTATAAGTAAATATAAATAAATAAATTTTACTCCAAAATATAATATAAAATATTGTATTTTATTTTAAATCACTAACATTAGAACAAAAAAAGTTTTATTAATTTTGAGACAAACCTTTTTGTGAGCCATTTGACAAAACAATATCTTTTATATTTATTAGTAAACATAAAAGTACGATAACCAGCACCATTGTTTATAGTTTTATATATAAACAAGTTATATATTGTTTGTTTAATTTTGTTAGTTCGATTTATTTAAAAGGCATAATTCATCTATGAAATTACCACTGGAACTTTTGTTTAATGGCATATCTGTTTAAAACGTATCTTATTCATAGTCTTTGTACCAAAATTTCTAAAAAATTTCTTCTCGTATTGAATCGTAGTGAATAAATCTTTTTATATATATATTTCGTTGAAAAATTTATGTTATTACTTTACAGGAGGAATTTTTTGTTAAAACGTTTCATAGTCGAAGAAAAATTTTGATAACTTCTGAACTTCTTTATGTTTTACTAAACAGAAAAACAAATTCTCATTCCATGTTTTTCATAAAATAACGCATGCGTAGTAAATGAAGTAAGCAATGTATTGCAAACCATTAATGAAGTAAATTTCTGTAACAAAATAATTTCGGAGAGGTCAATAAAAAATATGTGTTCTCCAGCATGCGAACCCAGTAGCTTCAAAGAAATCAAGATATAACAACTGTTATCAAGAATTAATCTTAAAAATATCTATCTTCTCTTTCATATCATGTTTAAGACATATGACTTTATTTTTTACGCTTTTCAATTTTAATTAAAGATATTATAGTCATAATATTCAATATTCAATTGCGGTTGACATTAATATGATTTCTTTATTGTGAGTTTGTTAAAGAATACTAGTATATCATTTACTAAATCTCGATACAAAGATGTTGAAATCAGTATACAAGACTGTTCAAGGCCCTTATGGTATATTAGCTAAAATTTATTAAGGGTGCATTTACAGTTTAGATTACTACTGAGATGTCACCGAGTAGGCATGAGATGAATTCCATGACCTTGGTTATACTAACAATTCTGAAGAACGTCAGAATCATATATTAACGTGCATAAAATCCAGTCTATAGATTGGGCACATAATTCATATTATTTATCGGATTCTTCAAAACATTACGTTAAATAAAGTATCTGTTGGGGTAGTCTTTAGCTTCCTTATCCGTTTTTAAAACTTTACATATTTCAAACTATCATCATTAGGCTTCAGCTATGCTATAGAATTTTTTTTTTTTTGTATATTACTCCCAAAGTAATTTTCTGTAACTCCAACAGCCTTGATACATTTTAGACACTGTTTATCCATTTTAAATTTTATTGAAAACTGATTCCCTTGAGATACTTCCACACCAAAGCGAACGCTTGCGAACGAACGAATTTTTGCAGGTACGATTACCTGCAAACGTGGTTGCACCTTCATAAGTATCGGCGCATAATTCTTATTTTATATATTAAGACCAAATATTCTTTTCGGAGCTATTAATTTTTCGTAACAGTGTTTAATTTACGGTTTACGGTTTGGATCATTCTTTTACAATTGGAACCGATTTTGACAAACTTAAATTCATCATCTACGAATTGGATGAAATTATTATTTTGGGAGATACGGGTTTTGAGAATTTGTTTTTAAATTAATTTTTAAATAATCATATGTCGGACTGTGTAATTATAGACTTAAAAATTTTAACATTGTAGAAATAATTCTAATACCACTGATGATGGGTATTTCGTAATACTCGAAGCGGCTGTACAGTTCGCCAAAATTGAATTATACAATAATTATAAAAAAATTTTTGTTGTTGCAGTTTTACTGCTGTTTAATAAAAATCTCATTATTGAAAACAACATTCTTACATTAAGAACTTAGATTCTTAGAGCTTAGATTAACTAAGCAGTGTTATTGTGTACGATTTAATTTAAATATTTTTAATAGACAGGTCTTAAGATAAATATTAAATTGCCTCGCGGCACTGTGTTCCGTCTTTATGTGGCATCTCTGAATAGTTCCGCTAGGTAATGACCAATAGTGTGTACAGAGAGTCCTATTCCTAAGGTTTTAAGTTTGTATTGTACACAGGGCTCAGCACTTGCCACGTAAAATCGGCCGTCAGTGAAAGATGTGAAAAAATCTCAGATATGAAAACTAAATGTTGATGATTGACGCCAATAAAAAGAAAATAATGATTCGCAGATATGCACTGGCGGATACTCTCAATAAATGTAAGACTAACGTCTTCACCATTTAGGAAATGCAATAGAGAGGTCACGGATGTTTTAAAAGAGCAAACGTATTAACGGACGTATTAAATAAACGCGCTCCCTCTCAAAGCGGAAACTATATTCAAATGTATAGATTTAATTGGTGTCGGCGAATTTCCTTGAAAGTCCAAAGAGAACGTTAGTCGGCGCATGCTCACATATGTTAAGAGCATAGTGGTGTTAAGCCTTAACGCAGACTCGAAAAAATTTAGGGTCAGATGGTCTACTTGCAGAATTATCCAATGCAACAATTTTTTCTGATGCATACAAAACATGCATCAGATCATCTACCCAATACTTTAAAAGTTACCAAGGATTTCATCGTTGTTGCCATCGCCTTAACACACAACGGTTTTAGCTTTGGGATCAGACTAAGAATTACCATTCCCAATAATTGCTACTACGGACTCAGTATCTATATGGATGTGGCCGTCTCTAACGACCGACAAAACTCACGGACGTTCTATAGGTCACTCATCTTTCCTGTACTTCTGTATATAACAAAAACATGGACGCCATCATAAAATGAAAAGTTCTTTGTAAGTTTTTTGGTTCTCTATAAGTTGGTGACGACTACCGTATCCGTATGAAGCACGAGTTGTGTGAACTTTATCACATTGATATAATTCAATGAATTAGCATCCAGCAGTTTCACCAGCTTGGTCATGTCATTAGAGTGGTTGATGATGGTCCAGCAAAAGAAGTATTTAAAATAGCAATTGGATGAGATAGGCATAGAGATTGACTGTGTTTCTAATGAAGTGATCAAGTTTAGCAAGTACTTAACGGTAATGTGTTGTTGTAATCAATTAAGTAGGTTATTGGCTTATTGTGTTAACGTAAAAAACTCAGAGGTTGAAAAATCACCTTGAAGCAGAAATGTTAAAATGCTCTTTAAAGGGAGATCCTGAAGCCGGTCAAAATCGTAAAAAATAAGCCCCTAGTATAGTCAATCAACGCCGCGCACGCACTATACAGTAGCAAAGCGGATATGAGACACTTTCAAGAAATTCAATCTTCTAGCATGATTACCTTTACGGCAATTAACTATCAACAAACAGACCACAAGACTAATATCTTTACAATGCACCCAGATGATTACTGGATTTTTTTAATGGAACGCGGAGAACTTGCATACAGATGCCTGCATATCGTTTAGTCTTTCCATTTTGTTTTAAATTTCTCACTATAAAAACATTTTAACAATTGTGTGCATAATGGTTAGGTCGTCTAACATACAATTGCCGAAATATCCAAAGTAGATAAATGTTAAATTGCGTTGACATCTCATTCAGATAAATATAGCAGCTAATAAGGTCCTGAATGTAATTAAACTGAATTCAAGGATTTAAAAGTCGCCAAACTAGCTAATAGTAAACAAAATAATTGCTTCCAAGCATACTATAGTTCCTCTATTAGTAATCACAGACCATGATGATCCGTCAAATAATCTGCCAATAACATTAGTTCCGTCCTATTGAGGAAGACTACCTTACTCTAATTAAACAGACGCATCAGCTCTTTAATTTGACTACTACCTGTAGTGATCATTTTACCATTTTTTTTACCAAACAGTCTAACCATTGTTCAGTAAAGCCACAGGAATATTTTAGGAATAATTTCCCAGGTCTGCCGTAGAAATTTCTAAGAGTCAATGTAACAAAACTAGTTTTTCGTGTTACGTTTTCCAGATAAGTGTTCCGGTTGACATTTATCTAGTTTAATTATTAGATATTTATCATTCTCAGTGTGCTCAATAGCTGTGTCTCCTATCGACAGTACTCAATACTCAACTTATACTATCTGAAGAATCAACGCAATCACAGTGATTTTTATTATACTCCTCTTGAAAATAAAGCATCTCGATTGTGCTTTATTTTTAATATATAAATATAAATTACGTACAACATATTTTATTTTGACTTAGTATGGTTCACATAATTAATGAAACCTACAACTAAAAGTTTCTGGTTGTATACAACTCAGTTGAAGTCTGAGTTAGTAAAGAAATGCTTGTTTTATTTTAAAGAAACAGAACCGGAGAATAATATAAAAAATCCATTCAGACATAAAGGCGATTAGCTCATTCTTCGAGCCTGTTCAAGCTGCACCTTCGACTGTGATTGATGGAATTTATGTGCTTCTTTGATTAATGAAAATAAAAAAAGAAAATAAAAAAAGAAAATAAAAAATGGAGGAAAATGTTTAAAAATTTAAGATAAATCTATCTAAATAAGAGATCCATTTTCTACGTCCTACATAATTTTTAAGAAGTTTTTTCGATTTTCGATGACAGTTTGTCTAAATGGAAAATGGTAATTTAAAGAGAAACAAGAAAATCTATAAATAAATTAAATGAGTTGCTACGCTATGAGCGTACTATTTTCAATCGAATGCGTCCGCTATGCAAGACATGGACGCATCCAATCTTCGAGACATATACGTAAAATTTCTTCGAAGACATTTAGCTAATTTGTTTGAAAATGTCTTCGAAGACCGCCATACATTTGAATCGATCGTCTACAGACGTCCATCTCTTTGATGACAAATCGATCCGTTTCCTCCTGGGTTAGTAAGTGTGCAATAAGAAGGCAGAATAGAAGTGTTGTTGGTGTTAGTCCATTCACTCAGTATCAAATAACTCTACTTCATCTACAACTACCTTCGTACACATACTAAGAACTCTATCTAGTTATCAAGTATTCATGTATTTTTACAAAAAGCGATCTCCTTAAAGCAGAAAAAATTTTAACATTTTGCTCTGCCTAATGAAGAAACCATAAAAGCAACAACTATCAAATGCATGTACTGTTCTTCCATGCTTTAGCAGAAATGTAAAAATTTCTGTTAATATCACACTAATAAAATCTGTTGCGTTGGTTGGCTATGGCAAAAGACAGCAATTATATTATTTGGCACAAATGATATCGGCACTTAAAGATAAGACTTTTGGAGCTTATCAAATAAAATATCATTGCATAAACCAGATTTAGACTATATGCACCCTTGTGCAGATGATCTGATGCATGTTCTTAAACTCTAATCTCGTTCAAAGTGTATTTTT